CACCTCTGCCTTCTTAAGAAAGGTAACGCTGGAAGTCCACGCCTTCTGGAGAAGGCTAGGTCCTGTTGGACCGTTGACTGGCTGTTAAGAGCCTGGAATTGAGCGGGACGGGTTTTCCCTGGAATAGCGGACTGTCGGACTCTTGAAGTTGACATCTACTAGGGAAAAGTTTCCTAAAAATGGGAAACCAGTCATCGGCAGTCGAGGAAGCAGTCTTGACTGCCTGGCGAGCCAGCATCCCTCTTATTGGAGTTTGGCTCTGAGAAGGACCTGATCAAACTTTTGTGTTGGGCCCGGGACTGGGGACTTTCTGTAAATCCAACGTTCCCCTTTGATCGTAAGATCTCTGGCTCAACCTTGGGCGCTGCCTCACGGCGCGAATGCGCGAAGGAGACGCCAGCGCGTCTGACCTGGCTGTGGTTTGGGCGGGCATCGACATAACCTTGTACACTGGCAGGGATTCCGACAGGAACGTTTCGGGATCCGGGAGGCGGACCGCACCGCGGCCCGCCCCGCGGCTGGCTGTGCGGGCGCACCCTGCGCAGAGAGCGGTACCGCCAACACTGCCCGCCCCTCCCGAGGCAGCCGGGGTGCCTTTGCCACAGCTACCAGCTTCGGCACACTTGACATTGCATGGACTGCACGGGGCGACCCCGGACTGGCGAGAGCCGCCGCCGCCCGCGGCTCAGCAGAACCCCCCCCCTTCCAAACTGCATTTGCGGGGGGGCCAGCGCTGCCCGCGGCGCCGGGCGCAGCGGGGGCGGGTGTCGCCCCCCCAACTCCTTTGCTGATGGAGCCTGCGCACCCGGTGATGCAGCCTTTGGTCCATCCCCTGGCACGCCCACCGCCACCCGCAGGAATTCCGACTCCCGCACTGGAGGCGCCACCCCTGCTGACGACGGACTTCACTGTCACTCCCACTGCTGCTCCGGCAGCAGCGTCTCCGCCCAACCTGGAACCACCGGCGTCACTCCCGGGAGGAACAGCCGCAGCCACGGCGCTGCCTCCTGCGTTGCGGCTGGAAGAGCCGCCACCGCTGCCGCCGACCTTAGGGTCGGTGGGAGAGCCGCCGCCGCCGCCGCCCCCGGCCCCGCCGGGAGATGCGGTCGCCGCGCCCGCCTCGCGAGACGCGGGGGAGGGCGCGCACAGTGCGCCGCGGCTCCGCCCTGTAATTCGGCGGCCAAGAGCCCCGTGTTGGACAATGAGTTCAGCCCATCGTCCCCTCCAGACTGTACCGAACTCTGCCCCTCCGAGGGGGAGCCGCCGGGGGGGGACACCGGCTTGGGCAGCAGCAGCACCACTGCTGCTGATCCCGGAGCTGGGACTGAGGGGAGTAGGGCCGCAAGTCAGGGAGCTGTGCAGCGATCGGTTTTATTCCGCAGCAGCACAGACACTCGGGGACAGGAGAGCAGCCCCTTGTATTGGGCGGGCGTGGGTGGTGCAGGGAGTCTCAGAGCCCGGGTGAAATCCTATATTCCCGGGGAAACAGCCGCTTCTCACACCCTACGCGTCCTGCTCTTGTGGTTTGCGGAGCGGGATGCCGAAGAGCTGTGGAAGAAACCATGGCTAGGCAGGGTGAGGGAAGGGCAGAAGCTCAGAGGAATTTCTAGGTTTCTCAGAGTCTGTTGGGGGCGTGCACTGATGTATGAGTTTGGGAGAGGTCATTCATTTATCAGTGGTCTTAGAGTGCCCCGGGGATCCCAGGTTCAGGGGCCCCAGGAAATACCAAAGAGAGGCTGGGGGACTCTTGGCTCAGCAGAGAGTCTTGGCTCCCCCCGGCCGGGTTTGGGACACATGGCCTTGCCCACGGGGCCAGGTCCTCCGCCTTTCCCGGCGGTGCTGAGTCCTAGAGTCCACCGCTGGCTCTTTAAAAAAAAAAAAAAAAAAAAAAAAAAAAAAAAAAAAAAAAAAAAAAAAGGCGGAAAGAGCTGCGTGTTTTCACTTACAGCTCAAAGTACTGGGAAGCCACGAATCAAACTCAGCCCAAGTGATTGAATTAAGGGCTGTGGCCATGGCATTTCAGAGATTTCATGGCATTTCAGAGGTTTCTCAAGTGTTGTGAATTTGGTCCTATTTGGTCCTTTCTGAATTGGTTCAGTTTCACTCAATTGTTTTGAAAGCCTTGAGGATGTAGTTTGGACCTAAGTTTGATTTCATCACTCAAGCTGTCCATTGAGGACATGATTGCATAGGCAAAGCCTTGCATGGTTTTTCTATTAAGTGCACACACCTTGCAAAAGTAATTCTGATGAAGGCCAATCAAGGCAACCAGCTGCACGTTAGTGGCTGGGACAGATCCCAGAGGCCTAATGGCTTTGCAGCTCTGGAAAAGAGATGTTACTCATTTTGTCAAATTCAAATTTGGCTGATTTGGGTATGTGCACGTGTTGTAAATACCTTCTTTTCTGTCAGGTCATACACTGGGAAATGGGCTTTGAGAAGTTGGACTGTCAGTCCGTTGACAGTCTGACAGTGAGTTGTTACTATCTTAGAGTTGGTAACTGATTCCTTGAAAATTATAAGCTTGGAATCTCTTTCACTGTTCTGAGCCAACATCCAACGGGGGTTTTGAATTATCAACTAGTGAACCTCGGAGTCGTGTTTGTTCTCTTCTTTGCAAGGTGTTCTGACAAACACAGCCTCCTTCTTTAAACAAAAAGGGGGAAATGTGGGTCTCAGGTTCAGTCAAAGAAAGAAACTGAGAGTTTCTAGCCAGGCAAAAGCCTGGGAAAGAGCTGGGAAATAATGTAAATAATTCTTTATCTCTCTTGTTCTCACATTGTTTATAGTTAAGTTCTATCACTGTGCGTCAAGCACTCTGAACCAATGTTGTAGGTTGTTTTCACTTTAGGACCAATGGATTTAACCTTTGCGAAGCTCTGTATAAAAGAGCAGTGTATTTTGAATAAATCAGAGTTTCACTCTCACTGCCTTTTGAATCAGTCTTCTCATTCCCGTCCTGCCTCAACAGCGACACTCCCCAATACTCAGAAGCTATTAGAAGCTGAGTGGAAGACTGTAGTAAATCAAAAAAAGGGACCATATTTTGAATGCAGACAAATCCATATGATGAGGAGGTAATAAGACCCTATTCTGCAAGTGAAATTAAAAAGTGCTGGCTCTCTAAGAAACAATAAAGAACCACAATATTAGAAAAGAGGGTGACAGATAATTTTGTGATAACGAGGTAAGGAGGCAAGACCAGATTAACCACTGTACTTGCCACCAAGATCATATTTAAATCCTGTGGGCATCAATCCCATCAGGCATGGAAGGTGGTGGTACACGTTATACTGGGCTCCTAATACTCTGTGTAAGTCTTCTCCCCCTTGGGAATATAGATGATTCATGTGCCCGATGCTACAGACCACTGTACCATGGAAAACCCCAAGGTTCTTATTTTAGTTTTCATACCTCCCTCTGCTACCACTGTTATAATTCATCCAAAGTAGACATCTGCCTACAAAATGGCCGAATGTATGGGGTTACGAAAATTCTGGGGTCAAAACACGATGCCCACATGGAGACAAGTGGGTTTGCTTCTTCATGAGTAAGACTCGAAAATGGAAAAAGGAACAAGATTTGATACGAGATTTGGTACAAGAACAAATCATAGGTAAGCAAAGAAAGCAGATAGAGCAGTCCAACCCAGAGCCAACTCCATGTGGAGATTTCTATGCAAAGCTCAAACAAATAGAAAATGAGATAGAAATCCCAAGGTTAAGGAAGAATTTGTTTGTAGGTCTGGGAGAAAGGATCAACAAAGAACTGAATGTTACCAACTGCTGGGCATGTGGTGGGGGCTTTAATGTCTGAAGAGTGGCCATGGAAAAATAGTAGCCTAGGCCCGGTCGAACTCCTTAAATGGAATAGAACCAACATGAAAGGAGAAAACCGACCAGAGGGGTGGATATTAAGCTCAGAAATAATAAGAGAGGAGTGCCTCTGGCATTTGGGAAAAGAATTATTGTATAACATAGGACAAACTTCCTGTAAAAGATATAAAGTTTAAAATGGAACTTCCACATGGTGGATTCCTGAAAAACCAACACAATATTGGACCCAAGAGAAGAAAAAGAATTGTAAATATGAAAAAGATATTAAAATTTTCCTGTGTAATGACCCTAGAAGAAGCCCCTGTTATGGGATCCCTGAAATAACTAAATTCTAGGAAAATGTGATTAACCATTTGTGGGAAGAGGGCTTATCCAAAACTTCCTCCCCTATGGACAGGAAGTTGTACTCTAGAATCATACAACCAGGATTTTTCCTGCTACCAAATCAAAATGGGGACAAATTGGCAATACCAGTCTATGATGCCTTAAAAAGAGACAAAAGAGAATTAATCAGAGAAATTTGTGGATATCAAAAGTGGGGTAAGGAGGAGTGGCCTCCTGAACGAATAATACAGTTTAGCTACCTGGGCACAGGATGGGAGTTGGGGATATTGTACTCCTATATATATGCTAAACCACATCATTAGACTCCAAACAGTTGTAAAAATCATAAGTAATGAAAAAGCTTGGGCCATGGAATTAATAGTCAGCCAACAAAGGCAAACCAGAGCCGCAGTGTATCAAAATTGGTTAGAATTAGACTATTTGTTAGCAGAAGAAGGAGGGGTTTGTGGAAAGTTTAACACATCTGATTGTTGCCTACAAATTGATGATAATGGCGATGCAGTTTTGGATATAGCCAAAAACATCCGGAAAATAGCCCATGTACCAGTCCAAAAGTGGGAATCTATAATGAATAAAGGATGGTGGGAAGACTATTTTGGAATATCCTGGTGGAAAAAAAGTGGGGTTTATAATGCAATGTAGAATAACAATTTTTTTTCATCCATGTTTAATTCCATGTCTTATCCGATTAATTGCTTATGTAGTTCAAAATATGCAGCTAATAACAATGTCCACCAATCACAAATCAGTGATTTACTAAAATATGAATATCGATCTAGTATCAATATCCAACTGAGACAGACAAAAACTCTCTAACAGTTTAAAGTTAGAAAGTGTATGTTTATTGTGACAGCCAGGCAGTACATGGGATAATTCCCTAGTGAGCACTGCAAAAATCACAGGTATTACAAAGCCTTTTTATTTACAGAAGTCTTGAATACATGAAATATGAATGTATATTTGTTGCAGCATTTCTGAGAGACAGAGGTCACGATTTATGTTTGGAATGAGATTTGAGCTACTCCAGTCTAGGCCTCAGATTTGGGCCTTGTGAGGCCTTCCAGCCTCTGACGCAGTTAGAAATTAAGAGCTTGTGGTGCAGTTAGAAATTGTATTAAGGTGTGATGGGGAGCGCTGGGCTGTCTGGGTGTGAAGTAGTATAGGTTTACAGTGTAAGGTTTGGGCCACCTTAAGACAAAGATAAGCAATGTTAGCTTGCCAGAGTGCCTTTGTAAACTGTAAACTATGTAGAAGTGTATATAAACTGCCATCTTCTCTTGAATAAACGGAGAACGTTGCATTAATCATATTGGTTGTATGTGCATTCTGTCCTGTACAGTTTTCCCGTTTTATGAGGTCCCTGGCTTTTTGTGGCGCCCGAACCAGGGACCCAGGATGCTCCGGAAAGCTCCCAAATTATTTTTAGGGTAACGGGGAGCTGAGTTTGAGTCGCACGATGAAAATCAGGTCCACATCGCTTTATAGCAACGTGGCTGGGATCCTAAATTCGCTTTTGCGAGCGAGGATCAGGTGAATGGAGCAAAAAATCCAGGATCTCCAAATCGTGCTGTTCACGACGGGAGAAAAAGGCTTTTCGCATGGCTGTTTGGTTGCAGGAGCCCGCTGGAGCAGAGAAAAACACCCTGGTGTTCACGAGAAGCCCGAACGACGGGTGTGGACGGAGCCAGGGCCGGGGAGCTGGAGCGGGAGTGCCGCCTCGCCGAAGAAAAGCGAGGAAAAGCAAGCCGCGGAGGTTGGAGGTAAGCGGCGGAGAGAGAGGGTGAAAGTTCACCATGGATGGGGATCTGCATGCTTCCGTGCGGCTTCTCTTTCATATTCTCTCAAAGAGAGCTGAAAAAGTTAAAGAAGCCGATTTAGAACAGTTGGTTCTGTGGGCAAGGAACAAAGGCAAGCTGCAAAAGCCTTCGCTGATTTTTAGTGAAGCTGAATGGCAAGAGCTGGGGCAGTTGCTTTGGGACGCAGTGATAGAGGGCGGAAAAGACAAGAAAATAGTACTGGAGTTCGGAGGCATTTGGAAAAAGGTTTTACATACCCTGCAAAGCATGGCCGCGGAGAAAAAAGCCGCAGAAGCCGCGATTCAGGAGTTTGAGCGAGCCACATCAGAACAGACAGGAGTCCAGAAGCCATCTCGGGTTGAAAAATTCTTTCGTGTTTGTAACATGCAGCCAGTGCGAGGGCAGCAGGCTCCAATCAGTCTCTCTATAAAATAATTTTGTCGCTCGTATAGAGGCGAGCGCGGGGCCAACCGGCACGGGGCTGGCCGGCGCGAGACTGAGGGAAGCGCGGGTGAGGCAGGGGCGGAAGTGTGCCCGCAGACAGCGGATGTTAACACCTCGGCGGTTCCGCGGAGTGAGGCGAACCCGGAAGTGGCCCTGCCGGGTCCCTCGGGAGGCGGGGTGACACCTGAGGAGACAGGCGGAGTTGGTGACGAAACGGGGCTGAGTCAGGAGGAGGAACACAGGGGCGGAGATCAAGGCAGAGACCAAGGCGGAGACGGGAGTGAGGCGGCGCCGGCCCCTCACCCCCCCGCAGACACGGCAGTAACGGAGGCGGCAGCCGCGGCGGCGGCGCGCGTGCGCAGAGGCGCGACACGGCGGTACTCGGCGGCGGCGAAAACCTCAGCACGGCTCGGGGGGGCTGAGCACAGCCACGATAGCGGGATGGCAGAAGCAGCTACCCAGCAGTGCAGACCCCCGACCCAGGCAGCCACCACCCCACCACAGTAGCGCTGCGTCGCCCCTTTCCACCAAGCTCCGATTCTGATGACTCAGAGCCAGACCCTCCTGCTGTCAATTGTAGCAGGAAGAAGCGATCACAAAATAAGATACACAGACCAAATATGTTACAGCAAAAAAATAGCCCACCTTGCCACCCTTTCAAATCGTCAGGTTCAACCAGTGGAACCTTCCACTGAGCAGCAATTTTTTATTGCCAGCTGTTTTAAAAAATCCATTGCAGTCATGGTGGGCGTCAGTGGTGAAGGATGCTATATTAGATGGTGACTGGAAGGCTGTCAGTTTCCTGGCTTGTCCTGTCATAGTGTCTAATGGGAATGCCATCTGGGAGCCCCATGAGTGGAAGATTCTACAATCAGCTAAGCAGACAGTCACTACTTATGAGATCAGGTCAGAAGCAGCCAGAAACATCATTCAATATATATTTACAGCAGATGTGCTTTGTCCCGCTGATTCATCTAATATTGCCTCTCTGCTGCTGACACCCTCACAGTTCCTCATGTTTGAAAGGGAATGGAGACGTTTAGCAGTTGATGAGGTCAACAGACATACAGTTGTTGGAGATCCTTTCCATGGAGTCCAGCCAGATATGTTGACTGGGCATGGACAATATGCAACTAACAAAGTGCAACTTACCTATCCCACTGAAATACATCAATTGTCACAGCAGCTGGCCCTTCAAGCTTTGCAACATCAGCATCCTATGCGACCATAAAGCAAGGAGCCACCGAACCATATGGGCAATTTATTGATAGGCTGGCAGCTGCTTTGAAAGATAATCCCGATGTGCCACCAGACATTCAGGAACATTTATTCCGCTCACTTGCTTTTGAGAATGCTAACTCACACACAAAAACCGTCTTAGCTACCCTTCCTCAAGGCTGTCCAGTTGACGAAATGCTTGTCAGAACCACACATGCTGAACAGAACGGCCAAACTGCAGCGTTCCCAGTCGCAAACCAAGATGCAATGCAACAGTAAGGACACATCATTGCAGCTGCTTCATTAAGTAACGACACAAGGAGACAGAAAACGTAAGGGAAGGTACAGCATTACCGAGTGTTCTCCAAGATACAAAGAAGGATGAACATTATGTGAATCAATGTTATTTCAAACACGATATAGATGAAAATCACTGTATAAAGATAGAAGTATTAGTAATGATTTAACTACCAAAAATGTCTTTGAAAACAAACATTTGAGAAATATCAATCAGATGGAATGTTGGTATTGAGTTTATTATATTTTTGGGGGTTTTCATAGATAATAATTCAAATAATGATGATTTTTAAGTTATATAGATAATAAGATAAATAGTGATTATTGTTAAGATTTTGTAGGTAATGATAAGTAGTGATTGTTACTAATGTTATATGAGTGCTTTAAAAGGATTGCCTTAAACTATTTTAAACATTTCTCGTTGATAAGCTGATCATATAATGTGAGTTGTCTGATTTTTGTGATAAGAATTATTATTAAGGTATTAAGGTATTGAGGTATTGTTATGGTATTTACAGTCAGTTTTCGTATGTTTTATTGTCTCCTTAGGTGATTGATTACAAGATGTTTTTTCAGGCTCCTGTGTTTTTGATTTTTTAACTACTCGTGTTTTCTTTATCCAATCTGTATGCAGCTGCAGTTCATCTTCTTTTACAAATTCATTGTCCAAATTTTGGTTCAAGATTTCAGATTTCAAATTTTTAGATTTCTGAAGAAAGGGTTTGTTGTATTTAGAGAATTTTTGTTTTGAAGGCAATTTTAGACAGGTTTAATTATTTGATGGTTTGATAAATTTTTTATCATAGGGTTTTTACTCATAACTGTTATTCTTAAGACTTTTGTTTTATAATGTGTTAAAGCATATCCTCCAATTAGAGTTTGAGCTCTGGCCAAGCTCTGGCTCTACTTGGTTGTTGTGATTGACCCAGGAGTTTTCTGCATCAAAAAGTATTCAAGTCCTTTTGGCTTGACAATTAGACCGTATAGGACAGCTGAGCCTCAAAGGGAGTTTTGGAAGGACATGATCTGGACATGTTTTATCCAAATCTCTGTTGTTTTAAGGATTGTCAGCTGCTGCAGACTCTGGGATGAAAATTTGATAGTGTAGCACTTGGTAACTGTGATTTTATATGTAATATTAATTGTGTATTATCTGATTGATTTTTATTTGTTGTTACTTTCTTTACTATATACATTGTTCTGTTCTTGATGTTTTTCATGTTTGTAACAAAGATGTTGATATCTCCATTTCTTCATGCAATGTTAGAGAACAGAACTGAGAAAGAACTCTCCAGTCCCTGTGGGGGGTGTTGGGTTTGTTTGTGTTTTAACAGGTGCAGAATCTGGATGGATTTCAGTGAAGAATGTGGAACTTATCAATTGCAAGAGAGCACTGATCTCGCCACAAGTGGAAGCAGAAGATGCACAGAAGATGTGAATTGTGCAAAGACTTGTTTTTCACCCACAGAAGATCTTGGACTTTGGGTTTCTTCATAGATGTCGGAATTAGGGATGTTATAGGATTTAGTTACTGAGTTTTAATTGGTTTTAGTAGGGCTTGTAATTCTTCTGTTCAATTTGCCATTGTTTTTCAATGGCAAAAGAAAAAGAGGGAAAATAAGTTAGATAATCATAAACATAACATTAAGTTTATCATAAGTTATAGTTTATGTTTAGAATTAAGTTTGTTTCTTTCATCTTAAACAGGGCATTCAAGAACCTGAGAAATATGTGGTGGGTCTCAATGTTTCTATTAAGTAATGTTTTAGTTATTGAAGTATCTGGAATCCTTGACATTGACAAGAGAGAAAATATGTGGATCACTTGGGCCAAACAAACTAGGCAAGATTCATTCTGTCTGTCGTTAGCCACCCCATCTAACCCTTTTCGTACTTGTTTAATTAGAGTCTCGTTGGGTCCCATGGCAGAGTTCAAAACTTGGACCCGAGCTCAAATAAATCCAAATAGCACACTGGGAGCGCAAGCTGTTGCATTTGTGCAAAACTTTAAATTTACTGATGCCAATCTTCAAAAATTTGATATTTTGGGTTCTGTCCCAGGAAATTACTGTTTGATATTTGGACCTTATGCTACCAAACCAACTCAAGAAAAAAGATGGTTAACAGATGACAACACTTGGTTGTCTCCCAGATCACCATTGTATTACAACTATTCAGAATATTGTAACAATCGGACTCAATCTGTGACACCGTCAAGAGGTGGTGCAGGAAAACTGCCCCCAGGAACCTTCCTCATCTGTGGGGACCGAGCCTGGTCGGCAGTCCCTCAAAATGCTAGGGGAGGCCCATGTTATATCGGTAGGTTGATGCTTTTTGCTCCCACCATACATATCGAAAGCTCTCCAACAATTGAGAACTCTAGCCTGCTGGACAGGAAAACAAATTAATATGACATCTAAAATGTTAAGTGAGCTTGCCACTGATATAGGTAGTACCTGTCATGCAGTTCTTCAAAACAGAGCTGCCGTTGATTTCCTTCTTTTAGCACAAGGACATGGGTGTGAAGAATTTGAAGGCATGTGTTGCATGAATTTGTCTGACCATTCTCAATCGATTTATAAACAGTTAACGCAATTGAAAGACAATATGAAAAAACTTACAGTAATAGGCACTCCATTTGATAACTGGCTCAATTCTTTAGGTTTTGCTGGCTGGATCAAAGACTTAATTCATTTTGGTATTGTACTTCTTCTTATCTTTATAATTATTTTGATTTTTATATCGTGTTTATTACAGTGTATGCAAAAAATAGTTCATCGTGCCTTCACGTCAGCCTGGGTAGCTCAAAAAGAAAAAGAGGGAATTGTTGCAGCATTTCTGAGAGACAGAGGTCACGATTTATGTTTGGAATGAGATTTGAGCTACTCCAGTCTAGGCCTCAGATTTGGGCCTTGCGAGGCCTTCCAGCCTCTGATGCAGTTGGAAATTAAGAGCTTGTGGCGCAGTTAGAAATTGTATTAAGGTGTGATGGGGAGCACTGGGCTGTCTGGGTGTGAAGTAGTATAGGTTTATCGTGTAAGGTTTGGGCCACCTTAAGACAAAGATAAGCAATGTTAGCTTGCCAGAGTGCCTTTGTAAACTGTAAACTATGTAGAAGTGTATATAAACTGCCATCTTCTCTTGAATAAACGGAGAACGTTGCATTAATCATATTGGTTGTATGTGCGTTCTGTCCTGTCCAGTTTTCCCGTTTTATGAGGTCCCTGGCTTTTTATATTTTTATCCCTGTCACTTCCTCTGCTCTGCTTCATATGCTAATTGGCAAAAAGGCTATTAAGCATGCGTAGTTCTGTTCCCTGAAATGCGTCAGGGGTCCATTTTGGGGAGGGGTCTCCAAAATGAAGAAGTAAAATAAGTCTTCCTCGTTCTGACCTTTCTACCTTTTCCATGCATATGTGACAAATGAATCCTGTAGTTTTCCTGTATACAATAGATTCTTCAAGTATGGGAAGTCTGCAACTGTTTTGTGTCCCTGAAATCTGTTTATCACATTCTGTTTCTCATTATAAGGACAGCTACCCAAACATAAAGTTGACAAGCAATGAGTTAATGGATCCAGCTACTGTTAACTATGAACAAAGCCTATTTATCTACTTCCACTAATCCAGCAACATCTAATTTAACTATCATCTTAACTTTCCTAAAATTCTTAATTCTTCAAAATTAATGTCTCATCAGGAACCTCATGAGAAATGCAGAAAATTATAGTTTTAAAGAAATCAAAAGATGGCAAGAACATAAAGAAGGCACTTAAGATCTATGAAAGGTATCAGTGTGCTGAGAGCACAAAGGTTCAAAAACTGTAGCTCAAGTCAAATGAAGTAAGAAAAGAAGAGGGGGAAAATTGTGAAAAACGACAGTTTAATATTGGCT